TGAGCTGTTTGTGGACTAAATCTTCAGTTCTTGCTGATAAACCCGATGCATTGTTGTTTGAGACCACCACCACTCCTTTTCAGGTACTTCTACCCTTAATTTGATCCACCAATCTTTACTCAGTTTGACTTTTGTTTCGTTTTGCTTTTCTTTTTGTATAACTTTGATATTTTGTTATTGTTTATACTGCACAGGTATGACTCTACTGCATCTGTTTTTTGAACACTCATGGCTGCCTAAAAATGAAGGTTTGCCTAATGGTTAGGATTTCAGAATTCGGAGTTCAAAGAGAATATCATGTTTAGGATATTGTATATAATTTTCTTATGGCATAATAACAACTGATATACATTATGAATTTTGTATTTGTGGTTTAATTAACTATGAAATCATTTGAGGTTTTAGGTCTTTAAGTGAAAGTTGGAATTCATTATGCCTAATGTTTAAGATTCTGGACTTCGGAATGCTGGGGGAAATATCATCATTTCTCTGTAGTATCTGCGACTGTTTTGTTTTTGGGTGGCATAAGAGCAAATCATCTATGTTGTAGAATAATTTTTATGTGGTTAATGTAGTGTCAGTTTGTCTGATGTTTTAGACCTACTTGTAGATGGAGTGCGACCTTAATTGTATGTTTCTCATTTTGATAGCTTAATCGTTCCATGGTGCATAAATAAGTTAGGCATCTGACATGGATGTATGGTTCTTGCAATTTACGATTTCTATTCTTTGTTGGATTAGTTATTATTTTCTGCAATATGTTGCCAAGATAATATGTTTAACACCAAAAAAGAGATCTCATGATCAGGTCTTCTGGGTAATATTCTGGAAGCTAGGCATAAATGAGATTTTGACGCTTGTGAGCTATAGAGGGGAATAAGGGTGAATCTTCTCCTATTAGGGAAATAAGGCATGGACTAAATATTTTTGTGAGGTAGATAATTAATGGTACTCCTAAATTCAAGAATCATAGAGAATTTCAATCCTTCTTGAAATGGCTTTTTGAGAACTCATATTTTCTTTGTCAGTGAACCTTTTGTTTCTTTTACTTAGAGAAAGGGGGGATTGAAGAACAAATTAGTTTAAGCTCCATTAGATGATATAGAGTACCTCAAGAAAGTACAGAATACTGTGGATCTATGAAGTACCAGTCAAAAATCTCAACTGAGGGATACTCTTTTACTTGATGCAGTGGAGAGAAAAAATTATTAACCATATCCATCTCTGACTCATGCACATCTATTGATATAATAGAGCAAGGCCCTGCTGCTTTGTGTCTTAGATTTGCATTATCCGCTTCCCCTCTAAAGCTGGTTTTCTTCTTGTTCTTCTAACACCTCTACCTTAAGTTATTAAGTGGCTCTGCTTCAAAGACAGGCTATTAGTTAGTCAGTGGTTCTGGATTATGTTTTACCCAGTTTTTGCCTGCTATGGACACAGTACTATGATGGTATAATTACTTAGATATGGACTCAATATCTTTCTTGAAAATCGTATGGAACATATAAATAAAAACTATTAATAATTGGATGAAGCTTTGTCTCCTGAAAGAAATATTTTGTAATGCAATGTTTTGAGTTGGATAATATTAACCGTGTGTTATTTAGGTAAACTGACATTGATTTCTTTATGGCCATCAGAGCAATTTCTTGTCATTCTCACCTCATTAGGCCAAACCCGCTGGAGTTACAAAAAAAAAAAAAAAAATACATATAAATATGGAAAAAGAAAAAGGAAAGGAAGAAGAGGATGACTGCTTCACTTTGTTTAAATGAAATTTTTATGCTTTCTTTCACTGGTTGCTGGCTTTTTGGCTTGTTAGTTATTAACAACAAAGTTTTCTCTTTTGTCTACAGCTCTTATTGATTCTTGTTCTTCATTATTCTTAGATTGTTACATAGGTATAATGTGTTTTACCTTATGTCCTTATCGTGAATAAATGTAATAAAGTGGCGTGTTGAAGAGAGATTATTGGTGATGCAAGAGAAAAAAAAAATGTGATTTCTCCATTATCTCCTCCTACACAGTCCTCAACCCTCTTTCAATTCCCTTGTCTACCTAAACCAAAATGCTTGAACTTAAAGAAAAAAATATGTATTTGCTGTTTTGCTTTATAAGGTATTCAAAGGTACTTATTTTTTGTCAGAGACACCAAGGTGAACCACTGCGTGTATATATGGATCTGGAAGCTGGCAGGAAAAGATCAGGCAATGAAGATATCTTTATTAGTTATCATGCTAAAGATGATGTTCAGTCAACTTATGCTGGTGCATTGTTTCACAACAATCGAAATTATCATTTGTCTCAACATAAGAACAATGTTGGTATCCTGTACTGTCCTGGCCTTCTTGCCCTTTAAGCTCCTTTATTCTACTTTTTCTTATCTTTCCTTTTTTCTCATGCTTCTGAGGGTTATTTATACTTTCTGTCCATCAACCTAGTGCCATTGTTGCTTCCTCTTTTTTTTTTTTTTTTTGTTGTTTCTGCAACTTATAACAATTTGTGAATTTTCAGGATACTCTGGTTTATTGGTCTTCATCACGTTGTCTTCCTGAAAGAAATCATCTTGCCAAACGCATACTCAGCTTGCTGCCCTATCATTCATTTGGCAAATGCTTGAATAATGTTGGCGGTTTAGACATGGCACTCTCCCTCTATCCTGAATGCACAAAGGATGCAGGTGAAGCACCTAAATGGTGGGACCATTTACATTGTGCCATGTCCAACTATAAGTTTGTACTCGCAATTGAGAACACAAAGACTGAGAGCTATGTCACGGAGAAGTTGTTTTATGCTCTAGATTCTGGTGCAGTGCCCATCTACTTTGGTGCCCCGAATGTTTGGGACTTTGTACCTCCACATTCCATAATAGATGGGTCTAAATTCAGTTCTATTGAGAAATTGGCTTCCTATGTTAAGGCCCTTGCTAATGACCCTGTAGCTTATGCGGAATATCATGCATGGAGGAGATGTGGTGTGTTAGGTAATTATGGGAGAACACGTGCAGCAAGCTTAGACACTTTGCCCTGTAGACTATGTGAAGTTGTGAGCAGAAAAAATGGGAGGAATGCGAGATCCTTGTAGAGTTCAAGTTGGTAGTACTATGCGGAGGGCGTTCACGGTTCTACAGAGTGTTTTTGAGGAGGTTTCTTTCTGATACCAATGTAGAGAGTAATATACACCAATAGAGAGCTAATGTATTTAGAATATTGACTGATGAATCACAGAGGAACTTGATTTAGCAGCTGTAGCAATCTTTTACTGAAGGTTCATTTTCCTTCCTACATCTCTTTTATTTGTATTGTAATTGTTTGCCATTTTTTTAGTCTTCTATAATATTTTGCTTCTACATGATCCCATTTCAAACCTAGGCTGGGAATGTATCTGTAGTTGATGAACGGAACAATGACCTGAAATTGCTGCAGAAATGCAACCCCCCCCCCCGGGGGGTCCCTTCCTTTCTGAAAGAATATATACTCCACCACAGGAACTTCAAACATGGAGAGAATTCCTCTTTGGGTCTCGTTTGATTTTCTAACTTTACCTTCCATCACATCATCTCTCTGCTTTTCCCTGGTGTTTCTTCCAAATTTCTGTGTGGAAATCTGTCTGCTAAAACTCAGGTCCTGAAGTGTCTGAATAAGTAGTGGGGAAAAAAATTTGCAATCTGGACTATAACCGTAGACGAAACCTTTATCAGCCAACTTGGCTGCATGTAAAACGAGTCATGAGTTGAATATGCATGCCTACATGGCTTTTACAAGTCCTTTGGACTAGGTTTCTTCTCGCAATTAGCTGGTGGAACCTTCGGACTAAAAGAAATACAACTTTATTTCTTTTTTCTTTTATGTTGGCCAGCCCCTTTAAACTGCTACGAGTTCAACAGAGTTGTGGGCAATCAGAACAGCGATGGAATTTGTTTGAGCAAATAGATGTAAAGGATTATCGCGCGCACAACAAACTATTTTTAAGCAAGTTAAAAGCCAGTATACACAAAGTGAGTATAACATTAATATTGCACAAAGTTGGTAATTGATTTTCATTTCATTATGTGACTGTTCATTGCACAAAATCTAGGGTGACATAGTCATATACCACACTTAAAAAATTGGTTAGACGAAGAATAATCTTAACAAATTATCAAATGACAATACTATTACTGATCAAATTTTTAAGTGTCGAAAGGGTATTTTTTAACATTACAAACCAGTATTGAAAGTCAAGGGTTAAGTAGTTGAATACGCAAAATCAAAAGTATAAGTCACTACTCGCTACTTTTCGAAAGTAAAATCAGTATTCCCTAATAGTGATTGCTCACGTGACGAATTATAATTGATTTTTTGCATGGTTAAATTTGGCACTATAGTAAAATTCCTATTACTGACTACCACATGATATAAGTAACTCTCTGCCAATTGCTATTGTTGATATCAAATAGGGAATTGGAAATCAGCGAATGCTGTATATAGGTGACCTTATCATTGCAGAATTTTGCTTAGCCATTAAGTGATGTCAGATCTGTGAATGCTGATGAGAGGATGATGCTAGGGACTTTGCCATCCAAGATTTGTTATACTTGGACTTTATAGAGTTTTCCGGGCCCTCCAGTGTTATTTGGAATTTGGACCAAAAAGAAAAGAAAAGCCAAGAGGAATTTTTGTGATGGCATGCTGATGTAAGGCAGCGTAATTCCTCTGGTCAGTGGGGATTGTATGCGTACAAAAGTAGGATATGGCCCCAGCATACTTCATAACGGATATTGCAAAAAAATGGCAAGTTGGAACCAATCAGTTGAAACACTTCTGAACAATCAAAGATGGGAATTGTAGACACATTTTGACATCGATGGCAGATTCAATGATGCAACTTCTGATGCGAAGAAAAATGTAGCCCACAGCCTAAATTGCACCCAAGCCAGCTGATGATAGTGAGCCAATAATGCAGAGATAATAACAAGTTTGCAGTTCGATGACAACAATGAACCATGTACAGAGGAGATATGAATATCAGATACATATTTTAAGGTAGGTTTATACTTGCAAGATGTACTAATTGCCTCTCTTAGCCTTAACATACGCCCGCACGCACGCACGGGCGCGCACACAAAATACACACACGAAGAAGATGAAAATAGAGCCACATTGTTGAAGTAAACAGAGACTAGATAGAACCGCCATCCCCTTCTTTGTGAAACTTCCAAACAGTGGCCATTATTCCACTACTGACAGATCTTTTACATTTTTCCATCCCTTTAAACTGCAAAGATAAAACAGAAATTTCCAACTTGTCAACCATAGCTTGATTTTAGAGGTTGTTACATCTGGAAAATCAGTCTACAAATAATCACTAATTTTGTACCCTTCTGCTCTTTCCAAGTTTTTCCCATTTTGCAGTCTTCAGGTGTTTCGGCCTGTTCTTGACATATGTTTTCAGTTGAGACTCATCCATGCCTTCGATCATATCTGTCTGTCATTTATTTTTTTTTCCACAGAAAGAGATGTTAAACACAAAAATGAATTCCTCATGCACAAAATCTACTCCAGGATTAATCATCTCTGACTCGAATAAATGTAGCATGTTTATGTTGAACGAAAAAGGGGTAGCATATCAAATTACAAACCCTAAACTTTAATGTGTAGATACATATGCCACAGTGAATAGATAAGTAGTCAGTACCCAAGTCAAAAGCTCCTGCACTTCCTTCTCCACTGCCTCTTGTTCCTTATCTGCTTGTTGCTTTCTCTCTTGTAGTGTCAAAACTCGTTTCTCCATGGTAGACTTGGAGTCCTCCATGTCTTTTGCCAGAGAAGGTGACTGTTTCCCACAAAATGCAGCCTATCCTTAAGACGAACCATATATATATAGCAATTATCAAGTCATGAACAAAGGGAAGATAGCAAATCCAGAATGCAGTGTGAACAAGGCTTATGCAGTTCGGACTCTGGAAAAGAAACAATGTAACAGCTGACTTAGGAATTAATGAAAATGAGCAGTTTCAAGTAACGGAAAGCCTTGCTTAAGGATTGCCACATCCACTTTGAATCTCAAAATGATTTCTAGTGCTTTAGACTGGAAGTTAAGATAACAGATAGAGCTGACGAAAGAGACTAAGATGAACATAAAGCAAAGGCAAATCTTATTTGAAAACAAAAGAACGAAACTGTTTTACCTCTACAGAGCAATTGCATGTCTTATTGGGCCAAAGGTTACATGAAATTATTTTACTACAGAAAAAACAACTGATTTTTGCAGCTCCAACATATCAACTTTCATACCTTCTCCACCATTTAAATGTTGACCTAAAAACACTTTTTTACTGCTTATCACCAAAGAAATAAATACAGCAAAGCCTGTTTATTACCGTCAAAATTTGTCTCTTTTCTGCTTTAGTTTTTTATATATCTTTAGTATCGAAATACATGTGACATCTTGTTTTATTACTGTTTTACCGGAATTAAAAGAGCTGGACTTTTGCACTTGCAGTTGCCGACACTGCACCATAAACAAGCTGATGTCAGTATGCACACATTTCTATGCACTAGTCTACTCCAAAGCTTCAATGAAGGTGTTCACGCATGTAAAGTACCAGGTACTCTTTCTACCTAATTAATCATATCCAGTTCCACAATCTTAAACTCATAAAAAATCAACCCAGTAGTACGACTCCACAGCAAAACACTAAATCAAAAAGACATTGTACTTAGCAATCAAATCCAGTTCCACAATCTTAACCCCTAAACGTCAGCCCGATGGTTCGAGTCAAATAGTCAATATTACCATCCAAAATAGTAAGTCAAAATTACATAGTTCAATTCCAGATACTGACCCTGTGACATAATCTTCACTACCACGTCCACCATATAGTTTGTCAGTGATGACACTAGAACCATCTCTCCCCTAACCAACACTTATTTTTCCTACCCAGATATCACCATACTCAATTTCCATTTTCATCAGTAGCAATGATCTTTGATCTTTCACTATCTCTGGTACCCCAGGAAGAGCTAAATAAGGTCAAACTTGATTGAGATCGTCAAATCATGCAGAAACCACCAGTTCATGGGAGTCTACTAAGTATTTTAAAAAAACATAGAGAATTTACTTCAACTCCAAAAGCTTCCACTATTGCCATAAGTGTGGATGAGTCATCTCAAATTGTTTGAAACTATTCCTTCAATCATAAGGTCAAGTAGAGAACCTGATACTCAGTCTACAACTTCATAGAAAACTAAATTAACATTTCATAAACATAAAGGAACTCGTAACAAGGGCTGTTTCCTGGTAAGCAACCACATCTTGTTTATTATGGCTCTAAAGTCAACTTTATCTACTTCCAACTCTTTCTCCCATAAATCATAGTCAATGAGAATAACATGGTGGAAGACTGGAATTATGAAAAGTGATACAGGAGTGAGTTGGCAACCTACCTTCGGGCTGGCAATTCAAGAATGGCAGCAAAACTATATCTGCACTGTTTTCTGGCAGATCTGTAAACTACAGTATAGAGAAACTGCAGATTAGTACCGTTCTTTGAGTGAAAAAGCAAAAGGGAATCATTTTGCAAATTAGAAATGGTAAAGTACTACAGTTCCCTCAGAAGATGATTTGAAAGCTGCTAAACCTAAGTGGACGGATTTGTTTGCTAGGGAAACTGCCCATGAAAGCATTCTAACAGGTGATAATCTATGTAAATAAAGGAAGATGTAGATCAGTTGTTGCTTAATATGCATAAACAAGGAACTGAAAACAAATTACATTCTTTTGTGCTGTCACATTGGATCAGCATTTTCTCAACATTCTTTAGAACTATTGGGGTTCAGTCGATAATGACACAAAATGTAAGGACCTCTTTGCTAAGATGGTACTACACTAGCCCCCCAGCAGTGCCAACCCCCACCCCCCACCCCCAAATAAAGAATAAATAAGTACTTAACCTTCTCTCCTATCTTTCAGTTAATTGTTTGCCATTAAGTCCTCAACTGTCCTGCTATGCTAAACTCAGCTTTGATTCTATAACTTTTAAGCATGATATTTAAGGTGCTCATTCTCATAGAGTAATGACTTGTAACGACTGGAAAGCAGCTGTCTTTATCCTTGCAATAATGACTTAGAGAGACTGGGCCATCATCCAAACTATGAATTGAAGCCAGACCATGCATAAATCACTTAGATTTAAGTATTTGGGAGTTGGGCTCCAAATTGAACCCTTAAGCAGCCTAACATACAGCTCTAGATCTAAGTGGTAAGTTCCAAACATTAGGGCTAATCTAAAAGGGTACTGCAACAATAAAATAATGCAAGAGAAGGAAAGGAAGTAAAAATCAGATATCAGAGAACAAGTCATAGATCAATTATCTACAAATTGACAGCCAAAGTGAGCTAGCCTCCACAGTATAACTTGTACAATTAGCTGCATCACAAAGTAAAACAATTTTCTTTCCATAAGATCACATTTTAAAGTGGCATGAAAAGAAATTTAGTAGAGGAATATCTCTAGCAATAATTGATGCATCGCAAGCAACCAGGCTTTATTTTCAAGAAGCAATTTGTTTCAAAGTTGGTATGTAAAAGTATGTCAAACAGAAGAAGAGAATCTGATATTGATACTTCTGTATCTCGCGTAGCATGGCAAGACGAAAGTAGAACGAAGCAACTTGCAGGACTTCATTGCTGGCACTCAAGAGCAATCCTCTACATTGGCCACAAAATACACAAGCTTTGTATCTGTTAAGGCAAATGGTAGAAGACTAGATAAGGCGAATGTCATTAATAGGAAAAATAAAGACAGAGATTAATGAAGAAAAAAATATCTGCATTCTTTAGATTTCTTCTACTTACGTTGCAACTTGAGAGCTCATTTCACCTTTATTCAAGCAATCAAGCATCCCTGGTGCTTTGCCATCTACAATGCGCACAAAGCAGTTGACAATTTAACATGCATAAATGAGCCAATACAATGGTCACACTCACATTGCATGGCAAGAAGAGAATAAAACAGTCCAACTTCCAGAACTTCATTGGTGGCACTCCAGAGCAATGCTCTACATTGGCCACAAAAAACTCTGATAGTGATTGCACAAGTTTTGCATCAGTTAAGAGTGAACCAATAGAATACTGTATATGGGGAATGTCATTAATAGGAAAAACAAACACAAAGAGATCAACAAAGATAAAAGCATCCGCATATTTTTTATTTCTTCTTTTCAAAAGTTTGCACCTAGAGAGCTCATTTCAAGCAATCAAGCATCCCTGCTTCATCATCATCTACAATCCACATAAAGCAGCTGAAGAATTTGGCAGGCGTAAATGTGCCAGCCAATACACAGAACCACAAGAACCATCACAAATTTACCTATATGAATGGAGAGCAAGATACTCCACAGAAACAACTTAAGATGTGGATTGTCAAAATAATTCCAGTTTTTGTTGATGACAGGAAATATACATCACATTCCTTTAGAAAATATTAAAGAATAGCTATCATGAGTTCGTTTGTCCTTCAATCATAATTGTAAGGCAAAATTAGGCACATAGCCACAAAAGAAATAACAACAGAGAGAAAGTTAAATATGAACAGAGTACCAATCAGTAACTGACTTACTTAGAGGACCACAGCAATGATAAAAACACATAAATGCATGTATGTAACAACTCTCCATGCTAAAGAAACTTGAATGAAATTTGCTAGCCTATACAGTCAGTTACATTACAACATTTACAGGATAAGGGCAGACGGAATATTTTTGATACAGTTAAGGGAGAAGTTAATTAGTCTAGTACAAGGGAACATCACTTGCTGCTGCAATACATGCAAGGAACAAGTGAAACTACAGCATGGAAGCCATGTGCCTGCTTAGTAACTAATTTGCTGAAGAAGTACGTCAATCTTACAAGGACAGAACACTTCACACGGAAACTTCATAATAAAAAAGAATGGCAAAAAAGGAAAAAAAAAAAAGGAAAAGATAAAATGGAGAACTAAAGGATCATGTTGGCAATGTGCACTTTTTTTGAGAGTGTCCCAGCATATGGCAGCGACCACATTGAACAACCCGCTTTGGACGTTTGAAACTCTCTATGCGGAGAACCTTCTTTTTAGGCCTTCCAGGAGGCCTACGAGTCTTAGGTGGACGGATAGTAATATCCACCTTGGCACCTCCACCCTCTGCTCCTTCACCAGGCTCCTTCCAAAGGCTCCTATCTGGTATAGGATATATCATCTGTGAATAAGTTTCACGGCAGCTGTGTACAGTAAAACAATGCTCCGCAAATAAATGAGCATTCTGACCACAAGAGATAAGCGCAGCAGCAGCATGTGCACATGGCAGTCCATAAAGTTGCCACCGTCGACAAGAACAAATACGACTTCTTATGTCCACAATATTTGTCCGTTCAGTTGACACAATCTCAAATTCAACTTCATTTGCACGAAGAACTTTGTAGCAACGAGCATCTGCAATTGCTTCTGCAATCTTCTTTTCAGCAGAAGGTACAAGAATTGATGTCAGCCTCATGCCCATATTACGACGATCACTGAACCATGATGTCATCTGATGGCGAATGTGCTCCATCATTTGTACTATGGGAAGCTCATGACATTCCAGTGCCCAATTATACAACAACTCAGTGACTCCCAGTGTGAAATGGCCATATCGTACTCCCTCAAAGTAAGCCACAGCCCACAGCTGCGGGTTAAAATGGTTAAACCATGCTAGAACATCTTGTGAAATATCCACCATCTCAGCTATTTTGTTTTCGAATTCAGCAGATGTAAGTGCATAAACTGCATTCCAGAAGATATTCACCAGCTTAGAGTTCTTGAATGTATCACGAAAATTCTCACTGACATAACGCAGACAAAAACCATGAAAAGCATTTGGAAAATGTGTCTCAACTGCCTCTACCATCCCCATCGTTCTCTCAGAAAGTATTGTAAGTCTTGGCATGCTATCAGTGTTCACTCCAAGAAGTTTGCGGAGTTCAGACATGAACCACATCCAATTTTCATTACTTTCTGAATCAACAACAGCTATTGCTAATGGAAACAATGCATCATCAGCATCCACAGCAGCGGCACAAATTATTGAACCCAAGTATTTGCCTTTGAGATGAACTCTGTCAAGTTCTAAAAGCGGCCTACAAGCATTAAGAAACCCATAAATTGCTGCACGGTAAGAAACAAAGAGCCGTTGGAAACAATTATCTTGTCCAGTGGCAACAACTGAAGCAATACTCCCTGGATTGGTCCTTCTTATCTGTTCACAATATGCTGGAAGAAGCCGATAACCTTCCTCAAAAGTCCCATGTAATGCAGCCATGCTACGCTCCTTTCCACGCCAGGCTTGCATATATGACACAGCAACCCCATGCTTATCCCGAATATCTTGCAAAATCTCCTTGGGCTTGTATTGAGGATTATCCCTAACACGAGCTTCCACAGACCTTGCAACCCATCCCACAGATGCCTGTTGATGGTGGAGGCTTTGAACTCCTTCACAAGTATGCTCTCCATGAAGTGTCCTAACCGTAAATTTAGGAACTCCAGGACATTTCGCCACATGAACGCGCCATGGACACCCCTCTTTGGAGCACTTAGCTATGAACCTACTCCTATCTGACTTAACAATCCGAATTTCAAAATGCATTGCTATAGCTATGTCCTTCAAAGTCCTCCTACAACTATCGACATCTGGGAACTCTTGTCCAATAACTAAAGGCTGGTCTGGCAATCCAACATCCAAATTTGTAGCAGTTGACGTTAAATCCTGCTCAACCATATCCCTCCTACAAGCATCAACACCCGAAAAATCTTGCCCAATGACTAAACTCTCATCCCTCAACCCCATATCCGAATTTGGCATTCTTTGAGTTAATGCCAGCTCAGCCATTCCACCTCCACAAAATACCCCACAAAAACCACAATCTTGACACTCCTTCACCTTCAATTCACCAAAATTCCCACGCGGGCATACCTAAAATGAATATTTCCCCAAAAATCCAAATGGGTTCCCCCAAATTGCGTATACTCCAAACCAGTACAAAGAAACTGCCAAAATTCCCAAATAGAGTAGACTTGATTAGCTACAAAAATGCAATAAAATCCCAGATGGTTATAGCTTTCAAGAAACAAAATTAACAACGCCAACAAAAAAGTAATTATATACTAATCACTTTAACTACATTAGCACTAAAAGCAAATTTCTCAACCAAATTCAGTTCAGCAATAAGTATAATCAGTTAATAGTCCAGTTCTTGAATTCCTTAATTTCTGTAAAAAAGTAAAACCAGGTTAAAAGCAGTTCAGCGAGGCTATCCATGAATAAGAAAATACGGAAAGGGAGGGAAGAGGTTACCTTAATGGGGTTTGGCTGTCCAATGTTTAGGTTGTTAGGAGATCTGAATCGAGGAGGAGGAAAGTAGGTTGTGGGTGTAAATTAATCGAGTTTGGAGGGTAAATCGATAGCCCTAACTCATTAGACTGATTTTTCCACAAATGGGGACAGTGAGAGAGAGAAGGAAACTGGAAGGAAATTGGAGTCAGTTTTTGTGGGTGGGGACAATGGATAATTGTTAGAAATTGGGTAACAGTAGCCTTTTTTTTTTTTTTTTAAGTTAGTAGTCCTTTTATGCCCTCATCCCTCTCCCTCCGTCCCTCCCTCCGTCCCGCCCTCCAAACACACACATACACACACACACATGTATGTATATTTGTATATGAGCAAATTACCGGGAAAGTCACCAAATTTTTTGAATAGTTAAGATTTAGTCATTTAATTATTAATAATATATTTTTATCCACTAAATTATTAAAAATGTAAATTTTAAACTATTCTATTTGATTCCATCGTTAACTCTATTAAATTAAAGGTTCGTACAATTCACAAGACATACTATTAATAATTAGATTTGAGAGAGTTAATGGTAAAATTAGACGGAATAACCCAAAATTTACATTTTTGATAGTTTAGTGAATAAAAACATAGTACTATTAATAGTTGAATAGCCAAAACTCCACTGTTCAAAAAGTTTGATGACTATCATGGTAATTTGCTCTATATATATATATATATATATATATATATATATATTGCTCATTTTTTTGACACAAAATTTTTAATTACCTTATATATTTGGCATTTTCAAAATTTTAAATGCATTTTGAAGGTGGAAAAATGATTAACTACGTTACTATGAGTATGCAATTGAAGTGTGAATGAATTGAAAATGATTAACTATGCATTTACAAGAAAGAAAAATTAAACTTTGACTAAAATGCAAATGTTAAAGATAAGGAAAAATAACAATCCTACACCTCTCTCTTTTTTAACCTTCCATCCCGTATATCTCACACCTTTCTGTTTGGTTCACGGATCGGATGAGTGGGATAACTTATTTTTGGATTATTAATCTTGGATTGAGTCATCCTTGGATTAATAAGCCAAGTTACATAGTGTTTGGTTAGTTTTAGATTGGATAGGATATATTGGAAAATAATCTTATTCTGTGTTTGGTTCAAGATTGGATAAGGTAGGATTACTATTTTAATAACCAACGTACCCCTTAATTTGTAGATTCTTTTTAATAAATTAATTTAATATTTTATAAAATATTAATAAAAAATTTAATATATTATAACTTTTATTAAAATACAGTAGTTTGAAACTGTAGAATTATAAAGTAAATCAAGGGTTTTGATATATAAAAATTTGCATTCACTCAAACTCAACCCATTCCCACTATTAACAATAAATTTTGATCGAGTTTTTCAATCTGAATTTGAAATCCAATTAAATGATGGGCCAAGTTTTGACTAATTTAGGGTTAAATCAATTAAGACTAGAAGATTTTCTTTTGAACCAAGTTTGAACTTATTGAAACCCTCATTCACAAAGCCGAATTGATAGGATTGTGTATTTATCTAGAATTTGGTTGAGAAAATAAACTTCGTAAGGGTAATTTAGTCCAAGGGCAATATAGTTCTTTTATTATAATGTTAGTATGGGCAAATTAGTCAAAAAATTTAAATTAATTAATATGAATAAATTAGTCAAAAAAGTTAAAATAATGAATAGGGGCAAATTGGTGAAAATTTTTTAATATAATTAGAAGGGGCTAGTTAGTCTGTTTATTGTTATATTATTATGTGAGAGTATGGTTATATAATAGTCGGTATGAATTTGTATCATTCACAAGGGCAAATTAGTCTAAATATTATTATGTTGGTAGTGGGAGCACATTAGTCAAAAAACTTTAAAATTAATTGGTAGGGACAAAAATTAGTCCATTTATATTATATTATCATGTGGGAGTCAGTAGGGTTATATAATTATGAGAGTATAAATTTGTATTATTCGTAAAGATAAATTCATCTAAAATTTTATCATCCTATCTATTAGTTATTTTTGGGATGACTAATACCACCTCCTCCATGAAATTATTTTATTCTATGAATAGGGGATTAATTTGGTTAATTGGGATGTGTCATCCCATATATAAAATACAACCAAATATAGGATGACAGTATGACACTGGATGATTAATCCAATCATGTGTCATTTCACAAACCAAACGGACCCTTAGTTTATTATAGGGAGATCTCATAATCTTTGCTCATATAGTTTACCGATACTTTTGTTTCTTTTTTTTTTTTTTTTAGGATTGAATCTCACTAGTTGTTTTATGTTGAACTGATATAGAAAATTTAACTCGCCTGGTTTACCAATTTTGCAAAAACATATAAACAACCTAAAATAAAGACACATAAATGTTTAAATTGAAAATGCCAAATATTTACAGAATTATTGGTTTTTCAATCGAGATCCAAGTACTGCAATTCAAATTGCTAAATAAAAGCTTAAAAGGTGATCAGAAGTTGGTTTTATGCCCAAAAAAATTGAAATTAAATGACTAAATCACTTTTCGGCCGATAGACACCTATATTTTGGCTGTCAAATTATTTTGAAGTGGCTTCTGCAATTTACAAGATTGTGTCAATTTGATCTCTTGGTTGGAGTGGTGACTTTACATGAACTCTAAAATTTAAGGAACCAAACTGGAAAGGTAAAGATATAGGAGTATTATTTTCAAAAGTATAATTTACAGGATCAAACATCACATGTTATGGATGGAAGGGCAGTGCCAAAAGCTGCTTTTTGGGGAATAATCACTTTTCGTTCTTAAACTTTAAGTTAATGACACATTTTGTCTCCAAACTATTAGACGCATCATATTTAGTATATGAATTAATTATTTTAAGCCACATTTAGTCAAAAAATGGTAAAATATTCAATCTGGATGGAGAAGACTGATGTGGCTGTTGATTTTGAGTGAAAATTTGTTTTTACTTAACAGCCACGTACCAAATAGGTGACTTTCTCCATTCAAATTAAGCAATTTACCTTTTTTTGGACTAAATGTGACAAAAAACAATTAATTCATGTACTAAATGTGATGCGTTTAAAAGTTTGGGGACAAAATGTGCCCCTAACTCAAAGTTTATGGACGAAAAGTGAATTTTTCCCCTGCTTTTTGAAATTGACATTATTAAACAGATTCAATTGCCAAATTGCAGTACTTTTATAGGAGATAATCTCTCTTTAACATTTTAACTAGTTGACTGGGGATTCATTATGTATGAGGGTGCCAAGACCTTGCGTACATTGTATTGTAAATGTTTTTGGAGTTGTTATAATTCAGAACAAGTATTGGGCTTGGTTCGTGCGGGTAAGAGAGAAGTGTATGTAAATGCCTAAATGTAACTGCAGCTTCACAGTATGACATTGGGACTATTAATTGTGCAGATTGTTTTGCCAAGCGATGGAACCATAGAGAAAGTTATAAGAACGGGATAATCACTAATCACGAGTCACTCAAACACATTAAGTCTCAAATTAAGTTGAGCAAGCGACATGCAAGATAGATTGCATTTATAGATAGCTTTTCATTCATGATTAAATACAAAACTGGTAAGAGTAATGTAGTTGCGGATGCATTGTCTAAAAGGTACACTCTTTATCCTTACACTTGATTGTAACTTTTTTGGTTTCGAACTCCTTAAGGAATGTTACACTAATGATCCAGATTTTGAAGAAATTTTTAAATCTTTGCCATGGCAGTCCCATGAGCACTACTATATTTTGCAGGGTTACTTGTTCTTCAAAGACAAGTTGTATGTGCCCAATTGCTTAATTTGAAATCTTCTAACCCGTGAGGCTCATGGTGGATGATTAATGGGTCATTTTGAAGTTGTTAAAACTTTAGCCATTCTACAAGAGCATTTCTATTAGTTTAGAATAAAACGTGATGTTGAGAAATAGTTCAAATGTGTGTTATTTGTCATCATACAAAATCAAAGGTAAACCATTATGGGCTATACACTCCATTGTCAATTCCTAACTTACCATGAGTTGATTTTTCTATAGATTTTGTGCTTGATTTGCCTAGAACAAGACATGGTCATGATTTTGTATATGTTGTAGTTGATAAATTTTCTAAAATAACACATTTCATTCCATGTTATAAAACTGATGATACAAAACATGTGGCTGAACTATTCTTTAGAGAAATTGTATGCCTACATAGTATGCCACACACTATTGTATCTAATAGAGATGTTAAGTTCTTAAATTAGTTCTGTAAAATTCTATGGAGTAAATTTAGAACTAAATTTCTATTTTATACTTCTAGTCATCCACAAACTGATGGATAAATTGAGATAGTTAATAGCACTCTTTCTACTCTATTTCGTGTGATCATTAAGAAAATTTTGAAAATATGAGAGGATTGTCTACCACATGTTGAGTTTGCATGTAACCACACAATTCATAGCATTACACAATATTCACCTTTTGAAGTTGTGTACGGTTTTAATCCTCTTATTCCACTAGATTTATCACATTTGCCTCTGTCTGAAAGAGCTAATTTAGATGGAAAGAAAAGAGCTGACTTTATGCGAGACTTTCATGCTAAGGTTCGTGCAAACATTGAGAAATGCACACTTTAATTTGTACAACATGCTAATAAAGGACATCTTAAGATGATCTTTGAGTCTAGTGATTGGGTGTAGATTCACATGAGAAAAGAAAGGTTCCTAGTTCAAAGGTGTAACAAGCTTTTACCAAAAGGAGATGGACCGTTTCAAGTTGCAGAGCGTATCAATAATAATTCATACAAACTTGACATTCCAAGTGAGCACGGTATGCATGCTACATTCAATATCGCTGACTTGAGTCCTTATCTTGCAAATGACAAGTTTGATTTGGGGACAAATTGCCTTCAAGAGGAGAGGAATGATGGTGGATCCATGGCTGATCAAGCTCCTCAAGGGTCAAAAATTTCAAGTTCAAGCAAAGATCAATTTGTTCTCCGTGGTCCAATGACAAGAGCTCGTGCTAAGAAATTTAGAGAGTATTTTCAAGCCTTAGTTTGAGACGTACAAGCTCAAGTAGGTGATACAAGTAGCATTCAAGGTCATGAGTATGATGAATCAATATTTTATATGCTCATTCAAGTAGTTGATGTAAAAGTGATGAACATTCTATCGGGTGCAAGAAGGAGAAGTGATCCGAGTTTGTTTTATGATTAATTTTTCATGTCATTTGATTTATTT